GCAACAGATTGTACACTAAAGAAAAAATTTTTAAAGAAGGTGAGGGGCATCTAGGTGGCTCAGTCGGTTAGGTGTTCAACTTTGGCTCAGGTCATGATCTCAGTTTGTGAGTTTGAACCCCATGTCGGGCTCTGTGCTGACATCTCAGAGCCCGGAGCCTGCTTCAGATTCTGTGTCTCCTCCTCTCTCTGCCCCTCCCATGCTCATGCTCTGTCTCTCTCTGTCTCTCAATAATAAACATTCCAAAAAATTTAATAAAATAAGGTGATATTTCACCATTTCACCTAGTTATCAAAAATTTTTTTAAAAATTCCAGTAGGTAGAAAAGAAGGTAAAGACATTCTAGATGGGAAAAATAGCATATGTCAAGGATAAGTTTGAAGGGATGGCAAGAGGGAGAGAAAACAAGGGGAAAGATCATAAAGAGGCAATGTGGATGCTGGCTAATACCATGAATTTGGAACCAGAACAACCTCGTTTATAATCCTGACTATTCCCACTTTCTTAACTTCATTCCTGGGGAGGTTTTACCCTTTCTGAGTCTATTAATTCATCTGCAGTTGTTGTAAGAATTAAATAAGATAATGAATATGAAACATATAGCCAAGGTCCTGGAATCCAATGAAGAATACTTGAAGTTACTGTTATTGACTTAGTGTGTATGTTGCTGTTACTTGAAATGACCCACCTCTGTGTCTCAAGGATAGGTTTCTAACGGCCATAGTCCAAAGGGCATCCTCTGCTTCCTCATGCAGCATGCTTATCTCAATGGATCCTTGTCTCATGCCTCATCTCTTTCCAGCCTTATCTACCTACTGCCACTACAACAGGCTCCATTAGTTATGCCCATTGTGCCTGGAATATTGCTGCTTTCTTACCTTGATCAAATATTCTTCTTCTATTTTGTCAGAGTTCTGCTTTCTAAGAAAGAGGGGTCAAATTAGGAAAAACCCATCTGTGCTTCAATTGAATCAATGTTCCTACCCTTCTAGGATATTTCTATGCATTTTAAAGGTGTTTTACTGAAATGATGTCTTAGACAAAGAATTGTACATAATGGTAAGAATTTCAGATACGATAGCAGGCCTGAGGGAGAAATTTCCACACAGACACTTCCAGACCCCTCTAATGAATTATGAGTAGGTGGTTTCCTCTACCAACATGAAGAGCCGTTTCTGCAGAGAGCATTGCAGTTGAGACATAGTTATGCATTCCATGCATTTCCAGTTACGTGGGTGGAAGATTTCATGGCACCATCCAGTTTATTCTTAGCATGTGTAGGTCATGCGTTATTCAGCAGGATGAGACATCTATTTGAATAAGGTTATGATTTCTTTAAGGCCATGGCTAACAAAGCTGTAAATATTATTCAAAAGACAGAGCAGATGAAGCCATGAATCTTCACAAGACACAAGGAATAAAGTCAAGAAAATTTTATAAGGGAGTTAAGAGGAACCAAACTGGTTCCTCCAATCTGGGAAACTCCAAATCTCACTGTGCCTGAAGGCCTTGGAGGGCTCAGATGTTGCCAACTCATCCTTCTACAGAACCAGTGGGTGTCCTATCCACCAACATTTTATTCTTCAGTAGCAATATTTCTACACAACCTATGAGTTTTCTAGGATCAGGTAAGTGAAGTTAAAAGTATCCAAAAATAAGAACTTCTTAATTTGATTATGGGTCTTGTTTTGGAGGAAGAAAGAGATGCAGTGGAATGATCCTTAGCCTGGATCATTAAAATCATTCAGCTGCAGGTTACTTAACTTAGGAGCTCCTTACCCCACAACTTCTCCAAAATAAGACTAGGCAGCCAGACAGTATGGCTGAGTAATAACATGACAGGTGTGGCAGGCTGACTCTAGGTGCTTTGATAAAAATATGTTTGTGCTAAAGACACTATTCATTATAAGCAACACAAGGGTGTGGTGTTTCAATGTTTCCACGTTTAGCAAGTATAAGCTGAAACTATTAAGTGCTTTGAAACCAAGCCAGAAAGCAGACGGACTGGAAAAAAAGGAGCTAGGCTACACTTCTCTTTATGCACATCCTTCTTCTGATCTTGAGTTACAGCAAAATACCTTCAACTACTCTTACCATTGCCACGTTATCATCTTAACAGGTAAACCTTAAGCAAAAATAAATATTAAATTTGATAACTGCTTCAAAGAGAAAGTGTGGTATTAATGTAAAAGAAACAAACTATTAACAAAGTGAAGCTAAATCTGTCCAGAAACCTTTATTTTAGAAAGGTTGGTATTCAAGTTTTGATTCCTCATGTTGAAACAGATGGGCATAGCAGAAATAATTCTTACTGTATATCACTTAAAAATACACTATTTATACGAAGGATGTATGTTTTTAAAGTACCAATAAAATGCCTTTACTCTTCTTTTCCCACATGTCCATGAACGTTTCAGCCACCTCAGTGGTCTCAGCTATCACCCCAAGGTGAATTACTTCTATATCCACATTTCTTCACCCTCTTGCTTTAGTTTAAGGTTTCTGCCTCCTGGTTATGCCAGCTGTGTCTCTCACATTAACCTCAAGCTCAAGTTGGTTGAAATGACTCATCCTCTTATCCAGTAATGTAGCAAAACTTCTGGGCTTCTAATTGCTCTGGATGAAATCTCCATGTCTGTTGTCACAGAGACTCAAAATTGCAAAGTCTCTGCAAAGTCTCCGTTCGTATTCCTTTTCTCCTGTGTTCTACAGCATGGTTTTTTGACCTCTACACTGTTGACACTCTGAGCTTGAAAATTCTTTGTTGTAGGAGAGGGAGGCTAGAATTGTTCTGTGCACTGTACAATTTTTGGCAGTATCCCCAGCCTCTCTCCGCTAGCTGCCAGTAAGTTAGTTCCCGCTCCCCAAGTTCTAACAACCGAAACTGTCTCCAGACATTGTCAAATATTCCTGGGAGCAAGGGAGCAAAATCACTCCCCCTCCGCCAACCAATTAGTTGTCCTGCAGCCAATTAGTTCTATCTGTTCTCTTATAGTTTCTCACGTCACTCCTTTCTATTTCATTCCTGTGGCAACCCCTCATGTGGACATTCAGAGTGTGTGCTTTTTAGAGTAATTTTTTGAAATTTACTTGAAAGTGTAGCAAACCTTGTCAAAGTCAACAACCAACAACCAAGACGGGGAAATGAAAGTTTTATAAAAGAAATCTGAGAAATGTGTCTGGTCATTCCAAAAAGGTTGGGGTTTCAGGGGCTTCAATGTCGATTTCATCTCTAACATTTGAAAGTCATGTTTTCGAGTAGAAAAGACCAGATAAAAAGCTATCACTTAACTATTTAATCTTAAAATGTAGTGTTCTGAACCAGGACGTTGGGTTATAGCAAAGAATATAAATATGTACAATGGAAAGAAAATAGGTTTTGGGTATTAGGTAGACTTGGTGTGAATCTTATCTCCGTTGATCTAATATTGGGACATAAGTGTATCTAACTCTGCAGACTTGCTCTGGACTAGAATGATTGTTGTTGTTTCTATGTTACACCTTTTACCAGAATACAGTTGAGATCATTACAAATGTGAAATAGCACATAGCAGGTGCTCACTAAGTGTAATCTGATAATAACATGAATACTTCATACTGATGCTGCTGTAATAGTTTGAAGATGAAAGTATGGGTGATACCATGAAGAATCCCATTAAAATAAAGACAAGAGCCCTAATGAAGTATTCAGCACTTCCAGGGGAAAAAGAAGGGAAAGAATAGATCTGGAGTCAAATAATAGACGATCTTAGCTGCTTATGCCACTATAAAGTAATGGTAATAATACAAGGACTTAAAATTGATGATCAAAATTTACTGGAATCCCATAGATATTAACTGATATTATATTAGCCTTCTATTATAAAAAATAAGATTAAAATATTTACATTAGATCAGTGAGAATCAGCCTGAATTACCTTTTCACATGCAACAAAGAGCCAAAAGGAAGGGCTTCTTGAGAGAAGCAGAAATCACCAACTAGAGTATGGTGTCATTAAAACGAAGAGAAAAAAACACCTCTAATGGAGCAAATCGTCAACAGGATTAAGTAGTGCCAACTGATCAAATAAGCAAAGAATTAAAATTAAAATTAACAAGTGAGATGGTGACGGTGGACACCAGACTTCAGTGTGCTGAGGAGAGAATGGGAAGCAATATAAAGATGACAGGTATAGATCACACTATAATGAGTTTGGCAGTGAAAGATACAAGGGAGTTGGAAGGTACTGTAGAATTGAGGAAGGTTTTCCTAAAAGGTGAGAAAGACTAAATGACATTTAAATACTAAAGGTAGGAAGTTAGTTGAAGTTATCAGAAAAGGAGACTTTCCTGAAGAGGTAAAAGAGTGCATGACCAGGAAGGTAAAAGGGTTAGGCTTAGATGGTAGAATGAAGGGGGTAGACACATCGTTCACAGCAGCAAGTAGGAAGGAGGAAAGGATGGCTCCCTGGGCACGGAGGCAGTCCCAGGAGGTTGCAGTTGCATTGCACTCATAAAGAAAGTATTATTTCATCCATCCTTCTCGCCCTCTTACAAATTAGACAGTATTTTTTCTTTTACCTATTTTTCATTTAGAAGAAGAGAGGAACAAAAGTGATCAATGGTTAAATAACTTTGGCTCTTACACTTTGAGGTATTCTTTGATAACTGTGGTTCTTTCTTAAATCGATGAATCACCAGTTAACACACACACACACACACACATACACAAACACAGGAAAATATATACACAAAACAATTTCTAAGCTGTGCTCTGAATCATTAGTATTTTCTTGAATTGGTAAGATTTCTATTTAAGTTACAAATCAGTGTAGGATTCACTCAAATAACACATGATGTTAGAGTTGAAGTGTTGAGGTAAATGCCTCATGCAAAGATTTGGAGCTTCATCCCAATGCAGTGTATTGGCGAATCACTTGCTCTTGAGCGTGGCCATTACTGTACAGTTTTCTGGGCACAACAAAGGTAGTTGATACTGTACCTTGGCGAAGCTGCCTTACCTGCCTTTGTCACTGCCCAGGTGTTTCCCATGCCCGTGGCAGACTCAGGAGGTGGAGGAGCCTGCCAGACCAGTTGCAAAGTGCAGAACATGCCTCAGGGCCTCCATTCACAATCCAATTTGCCTTCAGTGATTGTGCCCAGCCTTAGCACCGCAAGGCTGACCTTTCGACACAGGTAAGTTCAGCAACAATCACTTGGCTGCAGCCATCGATTCTGCCTAGTGCCAGAAATTCTGCAGTCTCTTGGGCGGCAGCCACTTGGCAGCAGTTTTCAGGAGATCTGCTCTGGCACAGAATGTGTGTGTGTGTGTGTGTGTGTGTGTGTGTGTGTGTGTGTGTGTTCTCCACTGTCATGTGCAATGCTTGCTGAAAGAAAGAATGAGGAAAGATATAGAGAGTTTGAATAGAAACAATACCTCCCTTCTCTCCTTCTGCCTTTGTCACAGCGTCCTAGCCCGACTTCAACAGGAGTTTGTAACCACAGGGAAACGGGAGGAGGGAGAAGAAAAGGCAGAAAGAAGGAATAAGGCTAACACACACAGGCAAGGAAGGGCAGCAGAGGAGAGGCTGAGAGAAGGGCAGCAGAGGAGAGGCTGAGTTAAAACATCCTCCTGGAATGTGCCTTTGGGTAGAATGTCATTTTATCTCTCCTGCCTCTACTCTTTTCCAGTTGAAACTTTGGACACACTGAGGCGGATACAAAGAAACCTTTTTTTTAAATAATTTTCAAACCTTCCATATTTGTGGTATTTGCATTCTTATAATAAATTTCTTTATATCAATGGAATAGCTAGAGCTCTTTGTGGCACTTGTTACTCAGGTCTACACAGCACAAAGACAATTCCTTGGCTAACATTACCAATGGGAGAGATAACTAGATAACTAGGGCCAAAAACATTCCCTTGTCAGATGTCTACCTAACACTAAGCTAGGAAAGAAACAAAGAGGCAAATGCTACTAACAGTCAAAGGCATCTCCTTTGTAAAGATGCTCCTTCCTTATGTAATTTCCTAATTGGTTTTATAGTAAAGAGAAACGTCTACTTAACTGACATGATTTTCTTTGTGAAAGCAAGCTCCTCTTTTCTTTTTATTATTATTACTATGGTACTATACCGGGAATTGTTTTCAAGGGAGAAGTGAATCAAGGTAACTACCCCAGTCCAACATCACAGGACCCCTTGCTCCAACCTGGACTGGAAAAGAATTCAAAGTAGCATCTATCTATATTCTTAGTGCAATATCTGGCACAGAGTAAATGGTCACTAAATGTTAGCCATTTTTATCCAATTAGGAGAAAAAGTCAACTGGTATGAAACAAAACCAAGGGTTTGTGCATAAGGAAATATGCAGAGGGAAAAAGGAAAAGCCAATGCCTATTTGTAAGGAAGGGAAGATCTTAAAAAACACTACTGAAGTGGTGAAAATGGAATCCAAATTCCAAGGAATTAAAGAGCAGCCAATGACAAAAGGTGAGAAAATGGAGTCAAGTGGAGACAACTGCTGAGTGTGCCAGTACAAAGACATAAATAGGCAGGATAATTTGCTAAAACATTCATATAATCAGGGCATAGAGTCTACAATATGACCAAATGATTACCCTTCAGAATACAACATTTATCCTTAAATCCACTAACCCTTTTATTTTCACAAATACTTCCCTCTGTATCCATACATTAAAATGTTTATTAATTACATACAGATACATTTGGTAGATAGATGAAAGTTGGAAACTCCAGAACAAGTAACCATCACATGTTTTCATGTTTTGAAGTCTCAAAAAGCACATGTATTATTGCAACCCCTTGCTTTGTTTACTGCCAACATCAAATCAAAGATAGCTTGCTATTTTTTGGAGACGACTACTCCTTCAAAGTTATCATGGTGGAATATGAATGTTCCATTCACAAGTGGCCACCACTTCAGCGCAATAGTTTACAACTTGTTTAAATAGCCTTCTATCTTCAATTCTTTGAATAGGCTCCTGCTTAGCCAAGTTTCTTTGGGATAGCTTCTGGCTCTGACTCAAGTCTTTAGTGGTGATAACCTGCCTTGCTACTCAGCACTCAGCAAAATTCACAGATGAGGCTGGGAGAACTGTTCAAGAAGCTGGATGTCATTCAGGTAATGTATTGTCCCTCATCTCTCCATCTGCCATGTTGCTGAATTCTTTTTCACACCATGCTTTTGCCATATATTTTAGCTACATTTTTTTAAACAATTTCCCTATGCAACTGATCACCAAATTTCACTTGTGTACAGTGAATTTCAAGGCCATCTAGGTATCTGTTCATATTTGCCTGGCCTCCCACAGGAATGCTACCCTCATGCTTATATATTTCTTTATCCACTACTTTTGTCACTAACTTTCAACTTGACCTCCTTTTCTTTTCTTCTTCTTCTAGTTCCATAATTCATCTAAATTTCTGTCTATAAGGTGGGGAGTGAAGTTTTCTGTGCAGTTGGATTTCTTTTTAATTATAATTTTTTATCATAAAAACAATTAAAACACATTACAAAAGATGAAAAATAGAACAATAACCACCAAACATATAATTATGTATATTTCCTTTAGGCTTGTTTTCTTGTTCATAATTTTTTACTTAGTTGCAAATCTTTCTTAAACAAACACACATATAATTAACATATAAATATCTATAATAATAGAATGTATATAGTTTTCTGTAAATTTTTTATTTAACATTAGGATATAATCATTTTTCATGCTGTTAAATAGAACCCATAAGTATGATTCTAACAGCCACGTAACATGTCATAATACAAACTGCCTTACTGTTGGACATTTTATTTACTTCCAATTACTTACTAGTGTAAATAATGCTGCTATGCATACATTAGTGGGTAGAGTTTTCCTCCCATATCTTGGACTATGTTCTTAAGATAATATTCCACCAGTAGAATTAGTTAGAAAGACATATTTTCAAATTTCCTTCCAGAAGTTGTGCCATCTTGCTACCTTCATGTGAAGATAGCAGTTTTGTTATATCCTCACAAGCATAGAATGAATCAGTTTCTCTTCTTTGAATGAATTAATTTCTAATGCTAGTTCAATATATTAATATAGTACATTGTTTTCTGTGGTAAATTTATCAAACGGATGCATTTCAAACTTCTTCCTTATTATTTCTTCACTTTTCAAACATATTTGGAATTTACCTTAACTGAGTAAAGTACTAATTAATGAAAAAAAGATACAAAAAAAGATAAACCCAAATGAAGTTTTGCTACTTTATTAAAATTTTTAAAAAGGTAAAGATACCAACTTGCTTATCATCTATCCATAGAAAAGGGATCTTGTTATTCATATGTTCTCTGGCTATTATCAGGCATAAAACTCCATTAGGTCACCATTTCACATTTAAATAACCTGACTAACTAAAATTTTATCAGTTAGAAATGATCGATGTGGTATGTTTAGTATAAAGACACTATAAAATCCAATACCTCCAAGTCTGTCATAATGTTTTATTATATGAAGCACCTCATGAGATGAACCGGATCTCTTAATTTTTCTTCAAGTATTTAAAGGTGATTAAATCACATAAATGTGATCTTTAAAACTGTGGCTATTCATTAACTCCTCCAGTGGTTGCTCACATGCTAGCAAAATGGTCAGTATCAGAAGGAATCAGCCCTCAATGGCCTTCATGTTGTATTTGTAGCGTCACAGCAGTAACTGAATCAATATACAAAAATCCGTTTCCTGGATGACCCTTGTATCCTACCCCTCTTGGAAAGAGGGGCTTAGTGGCTTACTGACTTATTAGAAGAATGTTGAGGAGGTTTCCATATAAGTAACTGAGATGCTATGCAAACTTATCAGGTACACTTACTAACCTGTTGAATCTCCTTAAATTGTGTCACAGATGTTTCAGGAGAGAAGTCAAAGTTCTATGTTGCCTGTAATGTTGACAAATCTTTAAGAAGATGCTGATGATGTTTACCGGTTCATTTCAAACTTCTTCCGTGTTATTTCTTCACATTACAAACATATTTGGAATGTTTACCTTAACTGAGTAAAGTGCTAATTAGTACTTTTATTAATTAATGTCAAAGAAAAAAGATAAACCCAAATAAAGTTCTGCTGAAATATGAAAGGTACAAATAATTGACAAAGTTATGACTATAGGTCAAAGGTTGTTTCAGCATGAGATAATGACAGTCCAAAAAATGTACAACCCATGTTTTGTGCAAGAGAAACTACAAAATCATTTCTTTTCAGTTTTTCATAGATATGTTTCTTTCTGTGGCTAACATTGTACTTCTTACTGTTACTCCATGACCAGCAAATGTAGCCATTTTTTTTTATACTAATTGGTCTTTTGTAACAAGATTTTGAACTTTGGCAAAATAATAAATCTATAAATCACAAACAAGAATAGACATCTAAGTAATAATTAGCTCCCAAACAGCTATGAAATCTTAACCTGAAATGAGTACACATGGATCTTATGTGTGCTTTATCCACAAGATATAGGAAGCCATACCTTGTAACCAGAGGTTCACCTACGCCTTCTGTGTGGCAATTTCTCCAGAGGACATTTTCAACTTTGCCTATTTTCTAGTCAAATTCCTACGTACAGTAATTGAGAGTCTCTGAAGATGTATAGAGACAAAGAAATGACTATCACAAAACTAAAGTGTTTCATATCTACTCACCATTTGTGATGTTTCACAAAAATACAAAGGCCCTAGGAAGCTTTAAAAAAACTGTACATATATACACACACATATATATCACACATATTCATATGCAATATACATAATATATATAATATATACATATATTAATTCCATTGCATCTAGACAGGATCCTACTTAAATCATTCTAGAAAGACTTATCCTATTCTCCAGGGGAGTGAATTTCACACTATATTTAAAAGAATAGGACCCTCACATAAGTAACAAGATGGATTTACAAAGACTGCTTTGTAGGTTATGAAATCTCTCACATTTCTTAAAGTTGACTCATTCTAGGAAAACAATTTGAATGAATTCGTTGACATCACCACTTTGAAGCACCTACACAATTTCAGTATTTGAATGACAACTACAGTTTAAGATTCCTGTAGTTTCCAAAAAGAAATAAACACTTTTTTTGAACTCATTAAACTCCTGATTTGTTTATACATATAAGAGTCTTCAATTTAGTGAGTACACTGCAATCTCAGCTAAGTATTGCTCCACTTCTCATGAAAAGTCTGAGGCTGTTTTCTTTTTAGTCCTTGGGAAGAAGATTTCTTGACAACATATAACA